CACAGAGGACCATTGGGGAGTTGGTGGCGAAGGCGCAGCGCAGGGAATGGTGGAGTTGACGGAGTGCAAGCGCGTGGAGGACCAGGACGATGGGTTTCTTGGAGTGCAGGGCGAGTTCCGCCGAGGGAAGTTGTCTGGACGCGCGCACCGTTTTTTGCGTGGCGGACCGACGGATGCGCCGGGGTCGCGGGTGAACAACGCGCCGTTGCGCGGGAACGCGCGGTGTCTCGAAGGGAAAGATGCACTTGCAGAGCAAAACGGGTTAGAATGCGAGGCTTGCAAAGTTGAGCGGGAGGAGGGAGCTTGTCGCGACGTCGCCAGAAGACGCGCGGTTTCGGGAGGCAGAATTCCTGGACGTTGTCGCTATTTGTGCGAATCAGGACATTTGTTGCCACGTCGGGAAGCAGGGAGCTGTGCAGTGGGCCAAGGAGCGAGGGGAACAGCTGCTCTGGGTCGCAGCCAGGGGCCGCCCGTGCCATGGGGGGGGAACAGGCGCGGCCGTACACGTGGGAGGATGAGGTACGTTGGGCGGGGCACCGCGAGAAGGAGTGCGCAAGCTTGCCCGGGTGGCTGCCGCTGGCCTAGGGGACGCCCGTGGCGCTGGGGGATCACTTGGATCGGTTGACGAAGCAGCTTCTGCAGGGGCGCACAGCGACGATCCATGGATGGGCGCTGCGCGAGGACGAGGTCGTTGGAGATGAAGACGAGGAAGTGTTGTTGCATCTACCGAGAGTGATTGTGGTGGCCTTCCATACGAAGGAGTGGCACCTGCCAGGGTGGGGGCCGGGGCTGCATCCGATCTTCCCATCGAAAAGGCGGCAATGGTTCTTGGGCGGGTATCGGAAGCATCCAGTATTGAACGTCTAGCGAACGCACTTTATGATAACCCCGTCGTTGGCAGTGACTTTGTACTCAGCGCAGGGCCGGACCACGGGGGCAGCGATGGCAGGCCTGGAAAGAGGGCGCGGCGTGAGTTGGACGTCAAGTTACGCTGCCATCACGCGCGCGCGCAGGCGAGAGAACCTGCTGATATTCACGCTTTTTGATCGGAAGTTTACAACGCAGGTGAGATGGCGAGCAGAGAAAAAGTGCTGCAGGTGCTCTGAGGGGGCGTGGATTGGGATGAATGGGAAGCGGAACTCATGCCGCGAGACCAGTGCGAGCGCTGCCGCCGGGGGTTGCTTGTAGAGGCGTTCACGAAGTGCGAATTCCAGAGGGAGGAAAGGCCAGCGCTCTGCAAAGAATGCACGGGGGAGATGAACAATGCCAGCGAAAATGCGTGCACGACGTGCAAAGTGTGGGCAACGAGAGCGGAGGGGGAAGATGCGGCGCGGCATGGTAGCGGTCGGGGCGCGGGCGCAGCGGCCGGCGACGGGGGGGCGAAAAGGATTCGAACAATGTACTGCGCGAAGTGCAATCATGTCAAAGCGACGAAGAACTGGCGGAGCGGCAACGCGAAGTGGAACGACAGCGTCGGCACTGCGCGATGTTCGAACGAGAAGCGCCTGTCGCTGCACGAGGAAAAGGCGGACATGTCGGATGCGCAGAAGGAGCACCATGCAGCGGGGTGAGGCTGCGTAGGAAATGCGCGGAGGAGCGTGACAAGGCGACGCGCGAGTCGAATAATAGGAAGCGTAAAGAAGAGGCGGCGGCGAAGCCGCTGACGTGCTGCGCGCCAGGATGCGGGGTGAGTTTTGGGAGACGGGACATTTGAATCGCAGCCAGGTGGGGGGCCATAGGGCGAAGAAAGGAGCGAGAGTGGTGTGAGGGGACTGCAGTGAGTGCGACATAACCGCGAGAGGGGTCGTCGATGAGTCGAAGCGGTTGAAGCGGCTGCTGACGCGTGCGGCGCGCAAGAAAGAGTTCGCTCGGCAGAAACACATCAGCGACGATCAAGCGAGTAAGCACTTCACGAGGAAGAGTAAAGTTGTACGCGCAGGTGGCATTGCCAACGGATTCACGGTGCGCAGTTGGCAAGCCTTTCAGCGCAGTGGCAAGTGCCAGAGGAAATTGCCGAAGTCGGCTTTCTCCGTGGACGCGAGCCACGTCGCGCGCGACTAGAAGAAGGGCACTTTGAAACGCAAGGCATGCAAATGATACCAGTAGGGCGCCCGTGCCATGGCCAGTGGGAGTAGGAGCAGGGGGGGTCCGAGCGAGAGGGAGGGCGAGGCCGATGAAAAGAGGAACGCAAAGAAGGTGAACGCACAGGAGGAGGAGGGGGAGGAGAAGGCGGAGGAGGAGGAGGAGGGAAGAGGAGACGGAGCAAGGGGGAATATGGGAGAGAGGCGGAAGGGGGGGTCAGGCTGCAAGTGCCAGAGGGAATTGCCGAAGTCGGCTTTTTCCGTGGACGCGCGCCATGTCGCGCGCGACGAGGAGAAGGGCACCTTGAAATGCAAGGCGCGCGAATGATACCGGTAGGGCGCCCGTGCCATGGCCAGTAGAAGTAGGAGCAGGGGGGTCCGAGCGAGAGGGAGGGCGAGGCCGATGAAAAGCGGAACGCGAAGAAGGTGAAAGCAGAGGAGAAGGAGGAGGAGGAGGAGGAGGAGGGGGAGGAGGAGGAGGTGGAGGAGGAGGAGGAGGAGGAGGAGGAGGACGAGGGAGGAGGGGAAGGAACAGGGGGAATATGGGGGAGAGGCGGAAGGGGGGGTCAGGCTTTTTCGCGAGGCTCGCGGAGGCAATTCCGAAGCCTCTTGGATGCCGTTTTGGAGCCTTTTGGATCCTCTTTGGGGTTTTTGGGGGGCCTCTTGGGGCCTTGTGGGCGCCTCTTGGGGGCCTCTTGGGGCTTTTGGGGATCCTCTTGGGGGCCTCCTGGGGGCTTCGTGGGGCCTCCTGGGACACTGTCGGGGCGTATGGTTCGGATTTTCGGTTCGTGGTCCCCCTCTTGGGGCCGTCTTGGGGTTCTCTTGGACCGTCTTGGGCGCCTCTTGGGCCGTCTTGGCGCCCTCTTGGGCCGTTTTGGGGGCCTCTGGGGAGCCTCTTGGGCCGTCTTGGGGCGGTCTTGGGGGCTTTTTGGTCGGTTTTCAACGATGTTAAAGCTGAAAAGCCGTATATGTTACATATACATACGTTTCCCAATCGAAAATCTATGATTTTTGCCTCTTGGGACGCCTCTTGGGCGCCCCTTGGGGCCTCCTGGAGGCGTTTGGGAGCGTCTTGGAGGCATCTTGGGCCGTTTGGGTGTCATCTTGGACGTCTTGGCTCGATCTTTCGGCGACTCGTGGGTCTCTTGGGCCGTCTGGGGTCTCTTGGCCCGTTTTGGGGCCCTCTGCTCCCCCATGGCGGCCCATGGCGCGCTCTGTCCGGGGCCGTGGGGGGCCGGGGGGGGGTCGAATCTCCGGCTTGGGGTCCCTGGGGGGGGTTATGGGGGGGAACTATTTCACACGCCTAGAGACCCACAAGGGGTCGGCGGATTTGCTCGGCCTCGCGGAAACCACACATCGTCCTCGAGGGCAGGGCCCCATCCGGGTCCACGTGGACCTCCGGGTCCACGTGACTGTATGGTGAACTGTTTGCTGAGCCGCCAAAGGGACCTTGAGGCGGCTGTCTTTCTATAGCCTTCCTCGCCCTCCCAGTGAACCCTTTGGGACTTAGGGCCTCTGTTGTGTCTCGAGCTTCGCCTAGACGAGTGGCAAGTGGTAGCAAACATGTTCCCCACCGAATGCAGCAGTTAACCTGTCAGTGCGTGCACGGGAAGGTTGTGAGCGGAGTGACTTGATGTGTCATTGCAGAACGAACCGTTTAAGCTGGGGGGGACCCTTCGACTCCATAGCCTTTTTCGGTTCCCCCCCGCCTTGTTACAGCCCTCTTTCGCCTCTGTCGCCGGGGCCTCTGTTGTATTATATATACATATGTATATATTTATATAGATATCAGAGTGAGGGGGCCGAACGGTCATTCGTTGTCCCTGGGTGCGTGACTTTAGTGAGTATCCGTGGTGAGGATTATGCTTGTTGCGTTGTTGTTGCTGTTGTTGTTGTTGTTGTTGCTGCTGTTGTTGTTGTTTAGTGTTGATTGCGAAACAATTATTATTGTTGGACCCCCCTAGGCGCCTTGGCACTCTCTCGCCTTGGCGCCAGCTACATTTTCATTGGAAATGAGGCTCACGCTCGAGCGGTTTGGGGGGGCGCCAAAACCGGCCCCCAAACAACAACTACCCTCCCGCTCGAGATTTCTTTTTTTTCTATTCGCGGCCGGTGCAGTTGCTCGCCGCCGGAAGCCGCCGTCCCAACAAAATCAGCGCTACCGCTCGAGACTTCCTCCCGTTGTATGCTGGACTGGCGCGCTACTCTTTCTCTCATCGGCGCCGCCCCCAGCAACAACAACGCTCCCGCTAGAGATTTCCTCACTTTTTTACTCAAGGTGGTGCCCTTCCTCGCCACCGAAAACCGCCGTCCCGACAAAACCAGCGTTTCTGCCCGAGACTACCTCCCGTTTTACGCTGGACTGGCGCCCTATTCTTTTTTGTATCGGCGCCGCTCCCAGCAATAATGACGCTCCCGCTCGAGGCCTTCTCCTTTTTTCCTCAACGGTGCTGTTCCGTCCAGCTTGGCCTGTCCATCGTGACGAGCGCCCACAGCTGTTGTTCGCACGCGCTGAGCCCAGCGCCACCACGAACGACAGGTACCCGAAGACTGGTACTTCGGCAGCGTAAAGGGAAGAGGCAGGCAATCGCCGTTTCCGCGCGTGATGGCGCAGGAAAGTTTCGCACGAGGCACCTGTACATCATCACTGGGTCTGGCCAGCCAGGGCCATCCTGGGCCCCAGGATGGTGCACAGACATTCCTGGCCTCGGCTAGGATGGCATATACAGGATGACGGGGCCCAGGATGGCCTTGGCCAGACACGGTGGTAGTATGTATAGATGCCCTCTACGTGTGAGTGCCAATCATGGTGGCGCTGATGAACCGCATCGTGCGCCTTCCACTCTGCGTTCGCCGTCCACCGCGCTCTCCCGACGCCCCCTGTGGCGCTGCAGGGCATCCCACGGGCGGGGACCGCAGGCCCTCCACTTCGCTGGCGAGCATCGGGTTCGTCGCGAAGCAGCCGCCGCGCTGGCCGCTGCGGCGCGGGGGAGTGGGCGGCGGGGGACGAGTTGGCAGGGATGGAGAGGGAAGGGAGGGCGTCCTCAAGGGGCTGCTGGAGGCGCCGTGAAGCCCCACGACGTCGTGGGAGGAGGGAAGGTTTTGGAGGTGCGAGGGGGGAGGAAGCGGAGGATGAGGAGGAGGAATGATTAGGAGGAGGAATGTGGAGGCTAGAAGAGGGGAAGGCCCCCGGCCTGGAGGCCGGTCCGTGGGGCTCGGGGCCCCCTGGCCTGGAGGCCGGGAGAAGGAAGAGGAGGACGACGACGACGAACAGCAGCAGCAGAGGATAACAGGGGAGAAGGAGGAGAAGGACGACCAGGAGGAGGAAGTTGAAGAGCAAAAGAAGTAGGGAGGAGGAGAGGCGCTGAAGAAGAGAGCGGGAGGAGGAGGAGCAGAAGAAGTATGAGGAGGGGCGCCGACATGAAAGAAGAGCCCTGGCCTGGAGGCTGGTCCGCTATAGCACCCTGGCCTGGAGGCCGGTCCGCTAGCACCCTGGGTCCGTGGAGCCGGCTGGGGAGAGACAGGAACGGCGAAGAACCAGCTGGTGTAACTCTCGCTGGAGCTGCAGCTGGAGCTTTCTGTCGGGCGCGATCCTCGTGACAGTGAAGGAACACAAACGCGCATGGAAACAAACAGGATCACCCTCTTTAGTTAGAGCTCCCAGAGGGGCACGATCCTCGCCAGGAATGCGCCGCCAAGGCGATAGGGAAGAGCCCCGGCCTGCTTGGATGGCCGCGCGCCTTGCTTAGCGTTGGTGCTCTTGTAGCAGGTTATCAAACTCTAGTAACCCACTAGTAACCTTTAGTAACACTCTGCCAACTACTAGCAAACCTTCACAAGTACCGACAACAGCGTCTAACACTTAGGGTGCTTAGCTTCAGTTACCTAATATGTTAGCTACTCTTACAAGCGTTACCATAAACGGCTCCAGGGATATAGTGGTTTAGCGACAGGTTACCTTAGCGTTGCTAAAGACGACGCGCACGTTAGCTTTGACTTAGGTAAACGGTTACAGCCCTGAGCCTAAAGGTTTAGCGAGGCTTAGCTAAGCAGCTTAGCAAAGGTTTAGCTAAAGGTTTAGCGGGGCTTGGCTAAGAGCTTTAGCGACGCCGTCTTGGAGCGTTATTTGGCCGTCCTGAGGGTGGTGGCCTTTGGGAGGAGCGCCGTCTTGGAGCGTTCTTGGGTCGTCTTGAAGGTTTGGGGCCTTTGGGTGGAGCGCCGTCTTGAAGCGTCCTTGGGCCGTCTTAGGAGGGAAGGAAGGGAGGGAGGGAGGGAGGGTGGGAGAGAAGTGTTTTTGGAAGCCAGCACGGTGAAGTCCAACCACCGCCGCGTCGCGTTTTCGCAGCCTTGTGGCGCAAGTTTTCGCGCTCACGCCTTCTTGCCCTTTGTTTCGGCACCGTCTGCAGGGCAGCGCGATGGCATCGAAGGTGGAGTCTGCGCTGCAGGCCGTCACACCAGCCATCCAGGTCGCGCTGGCCAAATACAGAGCTGATGGCAAAATCGTTGAGGCTTTCGACACATTGACAGACACGCTGTCGGCCTACCCTTGCCTCATGTGGAAGCAGTACGTTCATGCAGACTTCGCTGCACCCCATCCTAAGAATCGTGGCGGCATCGGTGTCACGCTTGGCGAGGCCTTCAGCAACGGGCTCAAGCATTGCAACGCAGGGTGGAGCTACAAGAAGGCCTGCGCTGGAGCTTTTGCAGTATCCAGGACTCCAGGTTCACAGTCCAAACGTTTGTTGACTCCAGGGGTTACAACAAAAAACATCAGTTCGTAGAGTTAGTTTTCGGTTCCCGAGGTTCGTCGTTCTCAGAGCCCTGGGTGCAGTTCGGCAACGAGAACTCTGTCAACCAAGGTTTGCCTCCCTTCGACAATATTATGTGTTTTACCTTCGGAGGCTCCCACTGCAACGCCTTTTTGAGGGCGGTCCTGGCCAACAGCACATGCACGCTGAACAAGCTAGCGCCCAGTGGCAGGTTGATCAAGGATGAGATGGTCAAGAATCATCCTGCTATGGAGCGCGGCCTCACGAGTGGCCTCGAATGGACCTTGATTCACGAATCTGCTATTCAACGTTTCCCAGACATCTTGGAAATCGGGTTCAAAGCATTGAATAACCATGGAACGTCGCAAGTTTCTGAGATGGAGGGCCTCATGAGCATGTCGAGTGCGTTCGCTAACATGTGCCGCAATGGCCTTGACGAGAAGACTGCATGGATGGAGGCTGTATCGGAGAGCATCAAGACAGATCCGTTTTGGGCGGGTTGGTCAATGTCTTTGGTGAAGCTGTGCAAAGTGGTCTCTTACGAACAGCTGTCGGAGGCCAGGAGCATGTTTCAAGCAACGGTCAAGGTGCATAGGGTAAATCTGAGATTAATGGAGAAAGGATGGTACTGAGGAATGGGAAGGATTGCTAGGCAGAGGGGAGGAGATGCCTGTTTTCTTTTTCGCTGTGCCACCCCTCGCCCGAAGGTGCCCAAGCACTCGAGCAGTAACTACGGCCACGTCGGCGGCAGCTTCGTCGAGAAGATCGCCAACCTCCACTGGGCTGGTGAGGCCATCCAGCACAACCGTGTCCGCCTAGCAGCACTCCTTTCGAACATGCTAGCGCCGATAGAGAAGATCAAGGACGGGAGGTGCGACCTTCTCAAGGAGAGTGACGTAGGAAAACTTACTAGCAAACAGTTGTCACCACTGGCAAAACTAGCAGAGAAGATGATGGACGACGCTCGCGACATCTTGAAAAGCAATCACCTCGAGCCGTCCAAGCACTGGGACCTTCTTTGCTTCCACGATTGCAGACTGGTCAACACGATGTTGAATAAAGGGAAAGCTTCTCGTGAAGGCACACACCATCCAGACCTGATGTGCGCAGGGCAAGTATTTATAGACGCCGTGTCGGACATCCTGGGCCAGCCCGTCACCAACCCCTGGGTGCCCAACCATCGGCTGCTCTCCAAGGCACCAGAGGCCACCGAGGGGGCGCAGCGTAGAGGGAAGGAAGGAAGGAGCAAGATGAGGTTTTTAAAATGAATGTGTCTGGATTTTACTCTGCCTTTTTTGATGTTCTGGCGTGGTTTTGTTTCTCTGGCCTTTGTTTCGGCGTGCTGATTCTCTGGCCTGGTATGATGTGTGAAGGACGAGGGATGGCGGGCAGAAGTAGGAGTTGTGTGATTCACATTGCGCTTGGGGTTTCAAGCTTCAAATGGATATCAGAGCAAGTGGAATCGGTGATGTTAACACCCCTGCAGAATCGTCTTGTGCTACCCCAGCCAAATCCTCGTTCCAAAACTGCGTCCTCTGAATACGAACGGACCCTGGACCCGCAAGCCACATCATCCAATGTCGTCGCATCGTTTCGTAGCCATTTCGGCCCTATTTGTTTTTTTAGAATTTGAAGGCAGCCACGATTTCCCAAGAATGGATTTCGAGCTGAAGACGATCAGCTTCACGAAAACCGTGACGATCAGCGCGATGACTGACAAGACGCCCTCCTGGCCAGGAGCCGCAGTCCTCAACGTTGGCGGCACCCAGTTCATCCCCCTGGCCAAGGGCGACGCCATGCTTAGTGCCTGGCTGTCTGGCAAGAAGGCCTACAACAAAGAGATGTCTGCAGTAATCGACGTGCTGAAGAAATTGCAGGCCTCCGCATCTAAATCAGAGCTTGGCTTCGATGAATCTGGACCAGCTGGGCAGACGGCCCACAAGGAGAGGCTCCAGATGAAGGCGCTCAAGCGATTGCAGGAAGGCCAGGAAGCATCGCTGGTCGACGTCACTCTCAGCGGATTCGAGCACGGCGGGATAACGGTGCCCTCCGTCCTCTGCAAGATGCCTGTCAACATCTCCCCAGAGCATGCCATGATCGAGCTGAGGGGCGAGTGCTTGCTGTGGGTCTGGATGAAGCATCGCGCGTGGCCCAAGTCCGCCAAGCGTCTCTATCGGCCCGCTGCGGATTTCGAGACAGAGGACGACGACAATGATGACGATGAATCCGACCCGAAGGACGGCGGTGCCAAGCCGAAGGGCAAGTGCGCGAGCAAAAAACTGTCCGACAGGATTTGTAGTCTTGAGGCGCGCCAGGCCATTAGGAGAGAGGGTAAGTCTAAGTTCAATCAGTAGGTGGTCACAAGCTGTAGGGGACATGTATCGTCTCAGCTGTCGGGTGATTCGCTTGCCTGCCTAGTTTCTGTGCCGAGCGTCTTCTCGGCGAGTCTTTGCCTATGTGGTTCGAGGCTGACTCGCTCCAGCTCTGCATGATGGCGTTTTCGACTAGCAGCCGTGAGCAACTGTGAAAACAATGTGGCATGGTGTTTCCCTGTAACGATGTCCTTGCACTCTGTGCGCATAGGGGGGAGGGCACTAGATGACCATGTTCGAGCCGACTGATGCTTGAGCCAAGATGGCAACGGCATGGAGGAGCGTAGAGAGGAGGATGAGGAGGAGGATGAGGAGCAGGAGGAGCAAGAGGAGGAGGAGGAGGAGGCGGAGGCGGAGGAGGAGGAGGAGAAAGATGAGGCGGAGGAGGAGAAGGAGGACGCGAACGGTCGGGCGATAAACTTGTTGAGTACGCTTCAGCCAATCAGGATCACAACGAGGATGAGGAGGAAGAGGGAGAGAAAGGCTGGGGATGAGGAGGAGGAGGAGGAGGAGGCGTCTGACTTTACTTCTGTCCAACTGCTGCAAGCTTCTCATGCTCTGACCCTCACACCTCTCCTGTCGTTCTCATTCCTCCTGACCCCTCCATTTTTTGTTGCGAGCGCATCTTCACGTGGTCGAGTTGGCTATATCTCCCTCTCTCTCGTTCGCACTCCATTGTTATGCGCCCATTGCCAGGCGATCCGCGAAGTTCGTGGGACTGCTGACCCCCAGCCCGAGGGCAGCTCCGCCGTGGCCAATAGCAGCAAGGCCACGTCGCTCCAGTCGATGGACGAGATGAAGTCAATCGAGTACCAATTGATCAACATGGGGTACTGCATTG